CCCCAAAACCCCAAAACCCCAAAACCCCAAAACCCCAAAACCCCTCTCTTCTATTTATAGATTGATTCGCGCCTTTTTAATAAAATTTTTAATTTAAAGTCACAAAGATGTTCGAAGCCAAACTTGCAGAAGGAATCATATTCAAGAAGATCGTTGAAGCTATTAAGGAACTTGTCAGTGATGTCAACATTGATATTAGCCCAACAGGAATCTCTTTGCAAGCTATGGATAACTCTCATGTTGCCTTAGTCTCTCTCCAACTCTCCATGGACGGATTTGAAAGCTTCAGATCAGACAAGCCGATGACTTTGGGAATTAACATTGGAAATTTATTCAAGATCATGAAATTGGGAGATAATGATGACTCAATGACTTTGAAAGCCGAAGAGGATCCATCTCATCTCACTATCATCTTTGAGAACGAGAAGAAAGGAAGGTTTGCCGAATTCAACATTAATTTGATCAATATCGACACCGAACACTTGAGCGTCAGTGACAATGAGGGAGGATCTCAACTTTCCATGGCCTCCGGAGAATTTTCCAAGATCATGAAAGAACTCTACCAAATCTCAGAGACAGGTAAAAATACTATAGATAACTCTCACATATTAGTGAAGACATTTTGATAAATTCTGGCTAAACTTTTATATAGTGAACATTGAGACATCTCAAGAGCTTATCCAATTTTCAGTAGAAGGAGATTGCGGATCAGGAAGTGTCAAAATTGGCCCAACCGAAGGAGAGACAAGAGAAGAGCAGGTCGTGATTCAGAGTGATGAGCAAGTCAACCTTTCCTTTGCTCTCAGATATTTAACCATGTTCACTAAGGCAAGTGGATTAAGTTCAATGGTAAACGTCAGCCTCTCAACCGAAGCACCACTTGTGGTCAAATATGAGATTCAGAACCTCGGATCATTGCAGTATTATCTCGCACCAAAGATTTCAGATGAAGAGTAAATAATAAATGGTATTCTCAAATAGTGCAATTTTTTTATTCACAAAGGGGTTTTGGGGTTTTGGGGTTTTGGGGTTTTGGGGTTTGGGG